TCGAACAGAATCAACAACAACACCATTCAACTCATATCGAATTTCTCGGAACAAAAAGCTAAATGCGTTATTGACAAATTTAAAGTTTTCAGATGGAGAACCATCAGCTTTAGTGAGTGTTCCTTCAAGGTAAAGATAGCTTTGGGACGGTAAAGTGAAGGTATCCAGTTCTTGAATAGCAATTCTAATTTCATCATTATAATCAAAATTAGCATTAATGTACGGTTGATAGGTGTGATACTCCATTTCAGTAATGGAGGTGTCAAGTAATGGCTGTTCTGTCACGTTCAAAATGCTCATGTTAGATCAATTGAAATTCCAACGACTTTAAAAACTGACGATTATCAATCGTTAGACGACGTCTATAATTTGGACGAGGTGACGGTACGTTGGTTGGTGGAGTACTAGCAAAAAAACTCTGCGAATCTTGTTTTTATAGGTTCGATTGGAAAGCACCGAATGTGGAATATTGTATCTAATACCCATTACGTATTTTGCGCAAGTGTAAACGTATGATAATGGTTTCGTTTCTAAAGTTTACAAGATCGTTGTTTTGATCAAATACAATCTCTCATAAAAACCCCCCTAAATTTTGGAATTATCAGTTGTTTAGCCAATTGAAGTAACTCTATATTAGTAAGAGCATGACGAGGGAGTTTTTTAGCAGTTTTTTTTATAAGGTGCCATATAACCCTTTTCCTTGTTTAGATTGTTCTAACGCTAAATTGTGACGTTTTTGTTCAGCCAACTGAGCCTAATTGGTTTTCGCATCCGAGACTGCTTTGGCAATTGACCCGCTCCACCTCCAAGTGCACCTAGCGCACCAAGTAGGGGAAGGAGGATAGGTAAAAATCCCCTTTTTTAGGGTATCGGTAAAAGTCTCGGTTTTGTTTGTGTGCGTCGTTTTTTACAGAGATCTTGTCCGCTTATTAGTTTTTTTCGCAATCCTAAAATGCTTTGTGACTTGCGACTACGAGAGAAAACTTTTTTCGACTCATGCCACTACCCAATTCTGCTTCATCTTCATGACCGCTGAGACACCCAGTGCAGCTACTTTTTCACCAAGCGATGAATCCGATGCAGCAACCCGCTTGAGGGCGTGATCAATTAAGAGGTTATCGGCTTTACGACGAATTTCACTTTGTTTGGAGGGGTAGCGTAAACCAGATCGTGCTGCTTACAGGCCTCGTCTAAGCGATTAATTTCCGGATCACTCTCTCAATGCGTTGCTTAAATTGTTCCAGGTCCACAGAAATTATATCTCGGGATATGCAATTCAAGTGGTTCAAGTCGGTTTGTGACTGTTTCTCCTCGCACGGAATGCAGTCATTTTATGCTTCTAGCAAGTAACGGTTTCTCATATATAGTAGACTGTGCTAGAAGTATTGATATCAGTACAATTTATAGGCTATCAGAATGAAGATCGAACCATCAGTCGTACAAGTTGTGTAACGAATTTTGATGGACTTGCCACAGGAAGGTGCGCTTAAAAACATGGTAACCTATTCAATGGTACGTCTAAACGCGCGTTAGTTGTAGTTCCAAGCGGATCTGGTAAAAACTAATGTAATGATCAGTTTGTTAACACTCCTAATGGATTGAGATTTGAGAACGTTTATCTGTACTGCAAGTCGCTTGTACCAACCCAAGTACAAATATTTACAGAACTACTAACACCGCTTCGCGAAATATGGTATTATGAATACAGTGAAGATGCAAACATTGCGACACCAGAAAACATTAAACCAAACTCGTAATAATTTTTGACGACGTTTCATCATGTAATCAGGATAATAAGACAATATTTCAGTTTTGGACGACATCGTAATACAGACTGTTTTCTATCTTTGTCAAACGTATACTGCCGCACCCAAACATAATTTAAGGGATAACATAAACCTACTCATACTATTTCCTCAAGACAATTGAATCTGAAACATATCTATGATGATCATATCAGCCTAGACATGTCATTCAACGAATTTAAAAGCTTGTACAGTTGTGTTGGCAAGAGCCACATAGCTTTGTAGTGGTTGATAAAGATTCTCCAAGACAGGGAGGCAGGTATAGAAAGTGTTTTAGCAGCAACATAAATTGTAACAGTAATATATATATATATATATATATATATAACTATACTCTGTGCAAATCTTAGGGTAGTACTTATATAACATCGAAGGTAGACAGATGGATCCAAACTGGCCAAAGAACTAGTCAAAACCAGGAAAGCGGTTTTAAACAAAACGTATCTCACACTTAAATCAGATATTGCAGCAACGGAAAGGGAATTACAGCAACAGTTTAAGCCGATCTCAGAACCGCTGCAAAAACTCTTATCAAAAGTTGAAGCACCTAAACAAGAATTGCAGATCAAAGAAGAACAATCTACACCCCCATCAGTGACATCCACACCGAAGAAACGACAATCATTCAATAAACAATTTATCAGAAAATGTATACCAACGATATTTACCACCTGTCAACTACAGCTTTCTCGAGGATACATATTCAAACCTTCCGGAGCCAAATCGCAGTCAAGATGTATCTACCGTTGAAGAATTTACTCCAAATGCTACGGTGTTGGAGGCAGAAAACCAGCAAATCAATGAAAGCGTGGCTCGAGTGGCGCAAGAATTCCACCAACTAATTGATACACCTGCATATTAAGAGTATCTTGAAGGTTTCACCCCACCGTACCGAATCGAATATGTTGATAAGTCAATTCGTGGGAACGAGCCCGAGTTTGATCGTTATTATGGATTAACATATGATATTGTTTCTGACAAGTTTCAACTCGGTAAAAGTCCGGTTACGCTAGACGGAGCAAATATCGTGGTGGAAAATGTAACATATCCTGGCACACCTGGATTATATGAACTGCTTTTCAAAAAAAACCAATTGGTTATAAGCAGAGTGATCTAGATCAGTATATGGATATTCTAAGTCGCACAAATGCATATCGCAGAAATTTTGAACCTAATACTCAAATACAGGGTAGTACGTCCTACAAATATCTAAATATAATTCGACCATACTTACATCAGCAGCAGGGCATACTCAGATCCGGCTCCTTTGAGAAACCTCCACCTCCTAAGAGTCAGTTACGATGAACACACTCATTCAAACATACAGGTCAAGGAATGCTCCACTTATCAAATAAACCAATCGACTACATCTATTTTGATGATCCAAATGAATTGGTTGCTCGTTTACGTCTGTTGTTAGCTTCACAGTATGCTGGTAATAATGGACATCGTAACGAGATTATGTCTATAATTGAGGAGTTACGTGAATAAAAAATTATAAAATGAGTTTGTAACGTAAAATTACTTTATTTACATTGCTGCAGTTGTAGGATCAAGATGCCGATTGATAAATTTGGAAGACATATGCTCCGCTCAAAGAAGACGGACACTGCTGCAATCTTCAGTACTTTTCTAAGATCCAACCTATCCAGCGTATGTGTGGTACCCATTTATTCCTCCACATCCAGCGAGCAGTTTTACACATTTAACGACAATAGCAAGGACTATATCGTTCCAGTGACTGGGATAGTTGATAGTATAAAAGTTCCGCCAAAAGTAAGAGTGACAATTGGTTTACCGACACACACCTCTCACGAAAGGTGATATTCTCCATTTCTTCACATCTAAAGAACCCAGACCAGAGCAGCTTATAGCAAATATTGTAATGCGCTGTCCATTGATACAACAATGATCGACTTTAGAAAGCAGGTTGTTGAAGATCTTCATAAGCCAGCTCCCCGAAATTATAGACGTCGGCGCGTTATTGTGAAGGGGGTTAACGATCTCTTGCAGGCAGATTTGGTGAAGCTTCCGTATCAGAAAGTGAACAAAGGATTCCGATATATTTTAATTGTCATCAACGTTTTTAGTAAATTTGTGTGGGCAGAACCAGTCAAACGAAAAACCGGAAAAGATGTTACAACTGCAATGAGGGCGATTCAGTCGCACATGCAGTCAATTCCAAAAAATTTACAAACAGACTGGGTAAAAATTCTACAATAGTGATTTAAGTTGTTGGAAGAGTACAAAATTAATCATTACAGCACGTACTCATCGACCAAAGCAAGTGTGGTTGAAAGGGTGAATCGGACTTTAAAGAATCGCATGTGGAAGCAGTTCAGCCTTCAGGGATCATACAAATGGCTAGATATCCTATCGTCAGTCGTTGACGGGTATAATAACACCAAACATAGTACAATTGGAATCAAACCCAAAGACGTAAACAAACGTACAGAAAAAAGATTATTGAATACGGTTTATACACATTTGAAAACGGTAGATCCAAAGGGTGTAAAATATCAAACTGGGGATCATGTCCGCATAAGCAAACATAGAACAGCATTTGCTAAAGGATACACTCCTAATTGGTCCAATGAAATTTTTACAATTCGTAAAGTACAGTATACCAATCCTACATCATACTTATTGGCAGATTGGCGTGGTGAGATACTAGGTGGATTTTATGCTGAAGAGCTTCAAAAAGTCAAGTATCCAAACATCGATCTTGTGGAGAAAGTGGTTCGACGTAAAGGCAGTAAAGTGCTAGTCAAGTACTTAGGACTGGATAGCAGCTATAATTCGTGGATTAACAAAAGTGATTTACTTGTATGATAAATGTACCTCTATTTGTCTAATGATTTCTATAGCACACTTTTTTTCAATAAAACACTCTACGTAATATAAGATTTTTATTACAAATATACTGAGAATAGTTAGGATAAGTAATTTGAATAAAAGTTCAGTGTTGGAGCCTTGTTGAATTCTTCAAGTTTGGATATTGGTATGCCAGCTCCATAGCAGTCCTGATGTTCTCCGAATGCGGCAAATCAGAGATGTGTTGCATAATGAAGTCTCGCACATCGATGTGCTTGGTTTGTACATCCTGGAACTCCTGAGTTTTCAACATATTCATCGTATAGGCAATCAGCGGGGCTAATTGAAATAACTTCAATACGGTCTCTTTACCCAAATAAACTACATTACTCCACCGATCAATTTTGATGGTTTGATAATCTGGAAATCTATCAAAGCTGATACAGAAGGAGTTACCTTGGATCGGATGGAAAATATCATCATGAAGAAAAATTGGTTATAATGCCTTCTTGATTCAACTTCATACCAGTCTTCTTCATTTAACGTAACGCCCTCGGTTTTTAAACCCTTGATATTGAGTACAGGTTGGAAGCTCCACTGATATGCTCGCCCAATCGTAATCCATTTTGATTTAGATGGATTTAGATGATAGCGTTGCTCCTGGATGACAATTAACGGTGGCTGAGCTACACCACTTTGTACAGATCGTACCCCTTTGTCGTTCTGCACATTTGCAACGTGTTTGACACCACCGGCACTACTCATGTTGTAACACTATGTGAAATGTAGAAGACTGGTATGTGATGCTGAGTAGCTACTTTTATACAGTGTCGATACTCCCTCCACTCACAAACACTCCCCTCTCAAAAATTGGCGCAGGTGCAATGGAAAATGATACTACCATTCATGAGATATATTTATTTATGATATATTTCTGTCATACAACACAGCAAGAATTATTGCGTTTTGGATAAACGCATAAGACACTCAAACATGCAACATAATCTTCAAATTTGGTGGATGGCCATTTCACACCACATGGTCCAGAACTCCATCCTAGTGACTTATCTCCAATGTTACCTTTAGCTACGTTTTTCTTTAACCATTTAAATACAGTATAATGTCTTATCTTATTTTCTATATCAAATACAAATTTAATATCATGCTGCTGTATCACATCGATTAGACTCTTCAGTGATGCACAATCAGCCAGATATGCAATTTTACATATGGTTTCATCGATATGGGATACAGTGTTTTATATCTCTTAGTAATATTTTCTACAGGATGTGGTTTATCTACATCTTCATAGTTACTGTCAGATAACAACTTACACAAATAGTATTGTTCATATGCTGATGGTGTGGAGTGCATGTTCGTCAGCAGGTCTCCAAATTCTTTGATGCTTAAAACCTCACAACCTGTATCCTTTAGACTTTGCAGCGTTTCCTGTACCACCCAGTCAAGATGTTTCTTTCTTGTTATTACACTGGAAAGCACATCGGGGTGTAACTATCTGCATTTGCAATCCAGTTGAATACTTCGTCGGTACTATAATTTCCACCAGTACAAAACTCAGCACTGGAAATTCTCGTTTTTCTGGATTTTGAGACACAAACTGTCGGAGCTGTTTTTTCAACACCTCTTCAGTTACATGACATAATTGCATGAACAGTGAATAGTATGTCTTGGTACTCATCTTTAAAACTGAAGAAGGTGAGTGGGTAAAGCATATATTTATATTCTTGTCCCCACCACAAAGCTCAAATTTCTGATCATTTCATCTGATCACTAGTCAACTCACTGGCTTCGTTCATTAAGCGCAGCAAGAGTTCCAACCGCTCTCGTCCGACATTTATGAAAGGTGATATCTTGATGACCCCAAGCTAATGTCTTTGTTGAGTTTGGTATCAAGAAACGTTTATCATCCATACTGGTCAATGCACTTTTCTTATATAATTTGTATATATTGTGCGACTCCGATTTAAATACATAAATCGTACAGTACACATATGTCCGTTTCTCCTCAACAATATCTTTATAATGTAACAAATGTAATTGATGTTTCACACTCGCCTTAGATGTACCTTTAGCTCGTTTAGCCACTTGATCTACAGCATCGATACAGTATGCTTGGGACCTGTACCATAAAAGGCAGACAGTACCTTGCCACCATATTCGTCTTTCATCTTACCCAACTCTGACGCTGTTCGAGGCATGTTATGTGGGTTGTCAGCATCATAATTGGATGTGTCAAAGTAATGCACGTGTGATTTCATGTCTTCATAGAAATTATCGGTTTCAACATGTACTATTAACGAATCAGTGTCCGTGTATGCTAAAGACACCTTATTACTATATTGGTGCTTCAGAAAGTTATAGAAAAAGTCATATATTACCGTTTTGAGACATCTAAAATACAAAATCCAACATATGTGGGACGGCAATAATCAATCATTGTTTTTTCCATTTGAATAGCTACTAAGTTTTCAGAAAATACTGTGTTCTTTAAAAGTTGGTTTACTAATATAATTTTCAGCACCTATTTTGTGTTTCGATTTTTCAAATTGAGTCGCTAATTTGATATTGACTCTGTTCTCCATGTTTTCAATCGTTTTGCCAAATATACAATTGATCATTGTTTGAACAAATCTCTTTCAAACGGATTCAGTGCTGCATTTCTAAGTGCGTGTTTAACAGTATATAGGACTTTAACCACGCTGCTTGTGTGAATTTGATACCTCTATGAATTTTCGTTAAGATAATACCATGTTTCAAACATTGTTTTAGATTACGATAATGGATAATGTAGCGCTCTTTGTTGTGTAAATTTGGAATTAATTTTGAGCTTTGACTGTTGGGTGGTTTAAAATTTTCTGGACAAAATGGTAAATCATTGAAATAATCATGAAGCTCATTCGGTATTGTTAAATCAACTTCTAATGCATATCCAATATCCGATGTATCTGAAATTTGTGTAATGTTTCTTGAATCCTATCCATCTCATGTTGCGTTAACCAAGCAAAATGACCCGTCGGTGGTACAGCTGCATAGTATATCCATATAAGTTCGGCACATCAAGGTACATTAAGTACGATGATGCCTTTGATGGATCGTAATGAGGTAAACATTTATTGTTCGCCTCGACTTTCCGTGAGGTACATGTGCTGACTCCTCCACGAATCCCCTTTTTAAAAAAATGTACCATATCCACATCTGTAAGCAGCTCTAACTCTACTTTAGTATATGTAGCATTGCATCCCAACTCAACCAGGAGCTGTAAAATAGTGAGCTGGATCCAGCTTGTACGTTTTTAAACACAAATCTCTAAAATTTTCAAAGATATCTGTTAAAAGAAGAACATCCGAAGTCAAGTAAAGTCCGAGTATTCCCCCAAATTTTTACACCCCATTACTTCCCAAACATGATGTGCCCGCTCATAATCCTCGTCTGCAATGTGTTCATCACGTATTTCGTCATAAAAGTCTTGTTGGGATGGTAAACATGTTTATTGTATTTATCAAATGTTTTAAGATATGTATAGGGAAATATACCTTTACATCTCATGTAGGAGAATCTTTCGTCCTCGGGAAACACTTTTCGTACTGTCCGACATTGCTCTGCTTAAAAAGGATGCCAATGTTTCTAATTTTGACGACAGAAACTGATATGAATCGACAAATCTCATTTGCAAAAATACGGTTTTTTGTTTTCCCTCTTGGGAAATGTACGTGTCTACCGGTACTAATTTTGTAAATGACACATATCTTTCAAAAGATTGTGGAATCACTTTAATTTGTTCTTGATTCATAGCTAAGTGTTTTATGAATAGATGAGCGTCATAGTTCTTCAGATTGTGGAAAAATATTGGAATATAGTTCGGAGTCTTATAATTGAGATTGCATTTACTATGCGCCGCACCACGATATTTCCCTGTGAAATGACAGCGATCCCTAACTTTTATATTTGTATTGGTGAATGGTTGTTCACAAATGAAACATGACTCTGCTTTATTAAACGAAGCTTTATCGTACGTAGTCATTTTCATTTCTACATTTTGTGTTAAATATTGATAATATATTAATTTAAGATCAGCCTCTAATCGAGCAACAAAAATTTTTGCTGCATCCTCACCCCTATATAGTGGCCAATTTGGATAGTGAATCATTAAATGAGCATTTGATGTAATAAGCAAATGAGGATGGTTTATGTTCATACTTTCTGATGGTACTTACATCCTCTGAATCGCTTGAGTCATTTTCTATCGGAGCTAGAATGCATTCAAAGTCGGTATAAACGCAAAATGGTAGCCTTAATTGTTTGTGATGCTGTTCAATTTTAGTATATTATCCATTACCGTGTTTCCAAGTCGATTAACTCTCGTTTCCAATTTTGGAACCTTAACTGAAATATATTTGCAATAGGTTCGCATGTGAATTTCTAATTTTTCTTTTGAGGCAAAGTATTGTAAAACCCATCACAAAAGTGCTTTACTCTCGTATTCCGCGACAACTGACTTGAAACAGTCTTGAAAAGTTGGTAATTAAGCAGTAATGATGGTTTCCTTCTGAATCATCAATAAGTAATAAGTTTAGATGAGTATGTTGTTTTTGCGCGGTGTAGTGTAACGGTCCCAGCACCTGATATTTAGGCTTCCCATCAATGAATTCCTTTTCTAATCCATAAACGTTGCTTGATATGTTATTCACGCTTTCACATTCTGATATTGACTTGAGAGCGACTGGAAATGTCATTCCAGCAAAGTTTAAGCCCGGAACATTCGAAAAATGTAGATATGACGTTGTTAGTGATGATCGACCTTTTGGTTTTACCATACCAGCTACAATTGACCATGCAAAGCAGTACTCATCGTTATTACGTATATTGAGTACTGCTTTTTTGTTCCTAATTTCCTTTGGAAGCGGCAAATATGATGCTGCTCTCAAAGGATTATATTTATTAATATTAATTTCTAAATATAAAGTCTTTTCTAACACCCACCCTGAGTCTTTTTCTGCAAAATCTTCAGATTTTTGCTCTATTTTACTTTCCAAATCATGATAGATTGCTTTTAAATTTGATGATTGTGTTATGATTACATTGTTTGTATTGTGGGACTTCACCTCTCGTCGGCTTTTAGCTGGTAAGATATATAAACCAAAAAGTTCCATATTTATTTTGAGCGTTGTTTGCTTATGCAATTCATTTTCAATCACGTTTATGGAGTCATGTTCAAGATTATTCATATATTCAGTAACGTTCAACGTGTCTATACTGGCGGTTATTTGATAACTGACTATTCTACCCCGAAATGCACTTCGACATACTGACACATTATTGTGTAAAGGTGTCCATAGATGTGCCTTATGTTTGATGCTTTTCAGATGTGCTGCATGTGCATTCCTCGGTACCTCACAGTTGCAACTATCACAGCGAATTGTTCTGCTTTCCGCACTCGTCTGTGAGTCGTTACTGGTGGTTGGACTCATTCGACTCGGTCCCGGTATTGCAACGTTGGCTGTTGAAGGATCCAGTCGTCTGGTATTGAGTCCTGTGGTGGTCTGGGTGATGCTAGCTGTAATAATAAGTTCATAAATATAAGTTATTTAATTTGGCTTAGTTGTTTGTAACTTTACCTTCTACACGTTGTTGTTCGGGTGGACTCTTCTCGCTTGTGCAGACCTCTCTACCATGTCGCAGTAAACCTTTTCGTGCCGAGAATTTTTGCCGGCATCGAGGACATTCCCACTTGTCTGCAGTGCGCGTGGAGCGGTTGCATTACATGGACGCTTGGATGCGGGCTCCTCATCCTGGCTGCACCTCGCTCTACAGTGTCTCAACAAACTTTTCCTCACCGCGAAGGTCCTTTGGCATTTTGGACATTGGAACATTTTGTTGTGAGGCGTGCACGTATCTACTGTGTTTCTCACACATAAATCATTTATATATAATATATATTTATGCACCTCGCGTTCTCTAGTGGCATCTGACACAAAAAAACATTAGCTGCTGTACATTGATTTGACCTATTTGCAGGTTTCGTTTTTTTTGTCCCATTTCTACATATCAAGTTCGCCAACTCTTCGATCCACGTGTCGCGATTGAGTTGTTGATTCACAACACTACGTTCTGTCGCGTCCCGTTCAAGTTGCGTGAACGGCAACTCTTCGATGTAGGTGTCACGATTGAGTTGCTCATTCACCACACAACGTTCTGTCGCGTCCCGTTCAAGTTGCGTGAACGGCAAGTCTTCGATGTAGGTGTCGCAATATCACTCGCAATCGCGGCAGACACAGATGGCTCTTGCTGTTTGAGGTAGCTCCCGACATGGATGGCCTTGGCTGAGCTTCCAACAAATTGATCTCAAACGATGGCCAAGCATTCATCGTTGTAGACATATCAATGTCCGGATTGATGGATGCTAACACTGCCTCAATATCGATCTCATTTGAGGAGTTCTGTTGACTTTGGGCGATGTAATTGTTAAGCATGGTTTGCGAGCCCATGCTAACAATTTCGATGGATAACTCATCATTCCCCGAAGTACTAGCCATCGTTTGCGGGTGCCCGTTCAGCGAAGAGTCAACGGTTTCGCGTGGTGGCACAACTTGAACACACACACAATATATCACAATCCATCCCCAACCATCATGTCAAATAAAAACTGTAATATCAGGTTTTTTTTCTTTGTATACTGGAAGTCCTTAGCTTTAAGAGATCACCATAAAGGATTTCATGCTCATAATCCATATTCATCCTTCTGACATCACCTATACCTTTCCTTGCGTACATACTTCCTTTCAATATTTCTACCTTTTATTCATATTTTTTATTTTTAGGAGTAATTTCCTTCCGTATCTTTGTCCCTGATGATTTTATGCTTTTGTTTTCCTATTGCTAACGTCTTCCTATTACCCATATCTTCTATTTCTATATTCCGTTTAGCGACATGCATTATTTTATTTTAGGGGTAATTCACCCCTATTTATTTGTCCTGTGAGTATTACATCATTTTGTTATTAGAGGTAAAGTTATCGGTTTTGCGGATGATACAGCTATTCTCTATGAAAGCAACCAGTGGCATACACTAAAAACCACAATCGAACATGATTTCAAAACATTTATAAATTTCTTTTCGGAAAGAACTTTGACAATTAATTACAACAAAACACACTATATAGCATTTTCTTGTAACGACAGGCTCTCACCGCGATTTAAAAAACTTGAAATTCATACAAGCAGTGGTCTCAAAGAGATTCAGTCAGCCGATAAAATAAAATACTTAGGCGTGATTTTGGACAAACACTTAAAATGGGATACCCATACAGAGTACCTTGTGAAGAGACTGAGATGTATTATTCCAAAATTCAGGTACTTCAGAGATATTCTAGATAAGAAATATCTATATAATCTATATTATGCTCTTGTTTATCCTCTATTACTTTACACCACCCACATAGTTCCATAGAGCGGTTCCATCTACCACGAAGTGAGGGTGGCAGAGGAATACCTTGCATACCTACACTACATTACCGCCAAGTGGACAATCTAGGCCAGTACTTCCTCCAAAAAGCCACATCGAGCAGAATGCATCAAGCAATAACACAGACGGATAAAAAGTTGTCACCACTAAACCTTTCAGAAACATCTTTCAACCCTGAGGCAAAGATAATCCCAATGCAGGATCTGGTTCGCCAATGGACAGCCAAACCACTAAATGGTCGGTATAGGAGCCGCATAGAATACAACGCCATTGACACGAAGGCTTCCCAAGGATGGTTGCAGTCAGGTAATCTGTTCCTGGAGACGGAGGGCTTCATAGCCTCCATCCAGGATCAGGTAGTCCCAACAAAGTTATACCGAAAGCGTATAATGCATGAGAACGTTGAAGATATCAGATGCCGCATATGTGGGAAAAAAGATGAGCACATAGATCATATTGTAGCAGTCTGCTCTCCCTTAGCTCGTAAACAATATCTTGAAAGACGCAATGATGTGGCTAAATACTTTATCAAGCTTTGGCTAAAAAGCATCTAGGAGAAACTGGTACACAGCCCTACTATAAATACACGCCGCCACCTGTGATAGAAACGGAGACCTCTAGGCTGTACTGGAACCGTAAAATCATAACTGACAGGCCCATCCCCAACAATATTCCTGACATAGTGCTCACACTAAAAGAAGAAAGAACGACGTTTATAATAGACATAGCTGTGCCTCTTCCTAGTAATATCCAAACCACCCATGCGGAAAAGATCAAAAAGTATTTACCACTCTCCGACGAAATAAAACGCATGTGGGAAATGGGCAATGTGTCTGTAATACCAGTTATCATAGGAGCTACTGGAGAGATACCAAGGAAACTACACAAGAGTCTGGAAAAGCTACAGCTCCATCCAAAAATATACTTGCAGTTGCAAAAAGCTGCACTGCTGGGAACATGTAGGACAGTACGTAGGGTTTTAGGAGATGAGAACCGGATACGGTGAAAAAACCGCTGCAGATCTATTTTCTTACTTTGGCGGTTAGCCTGAGGGAAATATTAATACCTTCGACAGAGGAGTAAAATAGTATAAAAAATAATAATATAATAACTATAATGATAATAATAATAATAATAATTATAATAATAATAGTAATCATAATTATAATAATAATATAATATATAATAATAATAATATATATAATAATAAATAATAATAATCATATTAATAATAATAAAATAATTATTATTATAATAATAATAAAAATTATTATATTATTATATTATATAATAACAATAATTATTATAATAATAATAATAAAAATATATAATAACAATAATAATAATAATAATACAATAATAATATAATAATAATAATAATACAATAATAATAAAATTATTATATATTATAATGGTAATTTTAATAATACTAATAATAATAATAATAACAATAATAATAATAATATAAAATAATAATAGTATTAATAATAATAAAATAATAATAATAATAATAATAATAATAATAATAAAATAATGATAAAATAATAATAATATATTAATAATAATATTAATAATATTAAAATAATAATGATAATAATAAGGGGTCTGGCCGGTAAGGGGACTGCCGCCAAAAGTTTCAAACCCGCTACCGTAACGACGTAGACGGTACAGCCAGCAGCGCAACGTCTGGCCTTAACCCAACAGTTAAGCTACTGATATTAACACCGAATGATAGTCAGTATGGCCAGCACACCTTCCATTTATCCAGGCGTGGTTTTTTGTCCCCCTTCCGCGCCTGAGTTTTAACATTTTTAGGTAAACAATTACACCTACTTATAAAAAGAGAACAAAATCACCCAGAAATGGAGAAGGAACAAAATGAAGCCTCGGAATGTAACGACGTAATCGGGACTCGTCGCTATGCGACGAGGTCCGCGTCCGGCAGGGAGCGTAGGGGAAGGTCGCACCCGGTTCATCCAGCGAAATCCCCCCAACATCACCACATATACAAATACTTCACTGAATGACCTAACACAACACCACCAAGCGGTCAATGCTGGTAATAATGTTGCTGTGGACGCATCGCCCCAGCCCATGCTACCAGCCCATAGTAGTCGGCAGAGAACCACTTGGATGACAGAAATGAATGAGTACGTGGTTCGCTGTTACTATAGAATTACCAAATTGCAAACTTCACAGGAACCTTATGGTGCTGAATTGCATAAATTAGTGACAGAAAAATTTCCCCAGTTAAGACAAAAGACACTGCAGAACATCCTAGACCAGCGCAGATCTATATTTGTGAAGAGCAGATTGCCAGCGGAGAGAATAGATATAATTAGACATGAAGTAGCAACCGAATTGGG